CTGAATTAACATCGCTACTTTATGTAGTCGACTCATATCGGCATATACTATGGTATGTTGACAAGTGAGGAAAGTGAATTTCAAGATTTTGCTATGGACTTGCGCTTTAGATCGACTGTCTAACAAAGTCAATTACAATATTGCATCAATTCACCTAGATAGTTGCATTATAGATTTGATCTGTATACTTAGGTCATGACTGATGGGCTGAGAAGTACATTGAGCTGTCATCCATGGATACTGATCTGTTATATCAAACTTTCCTGTAGGCTGAAAGATATACTTTAACCGATTGGGATAGGGTAACTATAATTCTAACCGTTTCATAACTTTATGAATTAAAATTCCTTGTATTTTGATAGATATTGTTTAACTTATGAACTAACCTATATTGACCTTAAATATATTTTCTAATATGGAGGTTTTCCAAACCATCGCTATCTCACCTAGTCTTATTCCTGGCCAACAAAACACTCTTCCTCACCATTCCAAATCAATTTTGAACTGGAATGAGTAGGCAGTATGATTATGATAAACGGAAAGCTACGCATAACGCATTCATATAGAAGTTAGGTAAAACCGTCCTTGATTAAAGTGAAGACTTAATATATCGATTGGCTGAATGTTGAGTCGATAATCCAGAAGCCGTTGATTAGAATCCTGCTGCAATCAAGGTTATCATTTCACCTCTAATCATCACATTACCGTGAAGATACCAGCCAGGTAGTTTCATCATTATGAAGTTGAATTGCTGGAGTCAGTCCTGATGATATTGTCTAGAAAGACAATGAAATCACTCAGCCTAGAGAACACAAACAACCGAGTTTCATTTCATAGTTTAGAAGTATCATGTAAATTGTATGAGGTTCATTAACCCCCATTTCATAAAAATGTCAAAGACTGTCGCCAAATAAACACCAATTATTCGCTGAACGCTTCATCACGATTACCAACAAGCTAAACAAATCAATGTAGTCAAACCTAATACAAAGTCTGAAATCCATCGAAGTTTACCGCAAATATCTTGATAATCCGAGTTACAGCTAGAAGCCTTGTCTGCAGGGACGACATTTTGCAACCTGTACCAAAATACCATCAAACTTTACACATACATACAGTTCGAAAGTGTATTCAGCCAAATAAACAGTCTTCTGTCATCTGATCAGTAGTTTCAACGCTTCAAATATACCATTACAGACTGCTCCTTAGAACAAAATCAAAGATCAACAATCTCTTCACAAAAGAACGCAGAAAACAAACGAAATATTTAAGGTGCAACATCTGGACAAAGCTGTGAGTGTGATCATTTTAGACCAAAGTGTCTATAAAGATAAAATAAGGACTCTACTCTCGAATGGAAGCAATTTCCATAGACATGAGAACGAAAAAAACAAGACAGGAAATAACTGAACAACAAATTATTGACGTTATAAAAAAGGTTGATAAATGATCAGGCAGCAACTCATGATCTCTAAGAACTCATAAAACCAACAGGTCCGACAATTTCACGTCAGTACGGGTTGTTAAGAATTAACAAGGCTGGTGCGTCTCTTCATGCAACCCCAGACATATCTGGATCTCCTTACCAACTAGTCTTAAGATGATAAACCGAAATCGTAGAGCCTGTAAGAAGACGAATCTTCATCGACTCTCCAAGTGAAACTTTTAAATTTGTTGACTGTATACAAAACGTGAACATATTTTATAAATGGATGGTGTTACTTCATGCCGAATCCCTTTTCACCAACGTTCTGCTTACTGAAAATACCTCTTCCTTATGCGAATATACAAAATTTAACAGCTTAACTACTGAAATACCAACCTCCTACCTTAAGGAACTGTTACTATGATGCACATCCAACGACATGGTTAATAGATAAAGAGAAAGTATAACCATGGGATCCCATCTTGATCTACTAATAACAAACTTCTTTATCGTAAGTTTGGAGACACGGACCATTGAAGTAAACGACTAAATGTTTCTAATCATATTTTGCAGGTATTTAATAGCTGCCATTCATCTGTAAGAATAGATCTTGAGGTGGAAAGTGTATCGAAGATCCATTTTCTCGATGTACAGCTTACAAGAATAGCTAGCGGAAAGTCAAGAAGACTAATTTACAGAAGACCGTTTTGCAGTGATCAACTGATGAACTTTCGTGGTTTAATTTCTTTTTGTCGCAAACAAGATCTAGTCATGTCTGTTGTCACTCGCATTAGACGAATCTACAGTCTTGATGTGCTGAAAGAGAAAATCTTTATCTGAGAAACATTCTATTTGAAAACGGATTTCCATCACACTTCATAGACAAAAATATCAAGTCGAAACCTTGTAAAAAGAATCTTACTATCGTGATAAAAGCTTTGCTTTGTGTGATTCTAAATTTCAAAAGTGATTTTCCCGTTGGTAGGATATCGAGCTCTCTAAGGAGAAAATTCTTTGTATTAACGTTAAGATCAATATTCTCCTTTCACTGAACAACTTTCACATCTGACTACTTCTACGTGTGTGTCTCAGTTCATATGCTCTTGTAGAGCCATGTATATCAGTCGTTCAATGAAACTTATCCAAATGGGATCTGGGACACTATACTATGTAGTTACAAACCGGTAATAATGGATCGTTTAGAAATGCTATAATTGGACGCATCTTGAACACGGATCATCCTATCTCTTGAACGTCATCATTTAAAGTCATTTATAAAGTGATATGAACCTTCTAGAGGCTGAATGTCTTAGTAACTAATACATCTCCGAAGTTCTTATCAACCATATTGAAGAAACCTGAGCTTTATGTGCAAAAGAAAATTGTTCAACCTATGTTCAACCGGTGGATTCAAAGCCTGATGGCCGTGAGGACAAATACTCAACGATGACATTGGGTGGCGGTTTGCGCTATATCGTGAGCTAACAGAAGTTGGAAATATGGAGCATTGGATTCTGACCCAGTGGCTTAATGGTAACGCGCTGGTCGCGGAACCTGAAGGTCGCGGGTTCGAGCCCTGCTGGTGGGGTCGTGGGTGCGCACTGCTGAGGAGTCCCATACTAGGACGAAACAGCTGTCCAGTGCTCCCAGGTTTCATTTGTCCCTCAAACTGATGTCAGTCTACGATGAATAACAACTTGAAATATTTCCAAATCTCCACAACCCCTCAAAAATTTAATATTCTACTTCTCATGATGTTTATTTTCAACCTTTAAAAATCACCTCTTGCATAATTTTCATTGATAATCACAGTATTTTCTTGGATTTTAATGACAGATCATATGTTGAAATTATTTGTTTAGTTGCCATTTTTGACAAATCACTTTTACTTATCAGACTCAAACACAAGGGAAATGTATAAATGTGTGATTTCGTAAAGTTTCAAGAATGAAAACTTACCCTAAATAGTCACACTTCACTGAATATGTGTCCCTTCAACTGAGCTCACGAGATTGTTTATCTACTTCCAAGACTTGACTAATGCCGAAATGATTAATCAGATCAGTTCAACGTTTAATGGAATTCGAAATCATGTTGATATTAGACTAAATGAAGTTTGCTCATGTCTGATAACTAGATCATTCTTGGTTACAAATGATCTGCTGAATGTAAACAGGATATAGTTTACGGATGGAGGCATTACTGAATAAGTTAATCCACACAGGAAATTTTAAAACAGGATAAAATAAATTAGTTGTAGACAAACATAGCTTACGTTCATTTCCAGATATTGTGGCGAAATCGTGATATTTATACTGGGTTATGATTGAAGGTGAAATGAAAATTTGGACCACGATCGGACTCGAACTGGCCGCCACCGAGTTTCCAGGTCGATGCTCCACCAACTGAGCTACAAGGTCTGACTGCTGACCAGATTTTTGTTTCATTTTAAGTACCATGGGTTTTGCCCGACTACTACATGAATTCGTGACGCGTTACTATCGCTTAATCGTAATGACACTGGCTGCCTTGTCAGGACTTCTCATCTCAACCCAATCCAAATGTAACTAAATTAGAGAGGTGGAGCATCATATTGATTATCACTTTGACTATCTGAGCGAGATAGCCATGGTTTGGTAGACTAGTATTTATACTGGATGATGATTAAAGTGAAACAAAAACCTGGTCTGCAATCGGACCTCGTGGCTCAGTTGCTAGAGCATCGAGTAGCAAACCCATTGGTCACTGGTTCGAATCCGGGCGTGGTTCGAGTTTTTATTTTAACTTCAATCATCACCCAGTATCAAAACTAGTCTGCCAAACCACAGCTATTACAGTCAAAATGATGGTAATTTTAATGAACTCCTCGGAACGCTTGGACGATGATGTAATAGGTAATTCATAGACCATGAGCTTTCTGACTGTGACCAATAAGAAATTAAATACTTGAGGCCTAAACTTTCAGGTGGTATAAAACAGAATCAAGCTCATTTCTCTATATACCATTAATGTTTGATTTCCTGTTAATCTGAATGCTTTACCTATTTCTTTAATTTATTGATGTATTTGTTATTCTCCGTTGTTGTATTGAATTGAATTTAATGGACCTTTATTGGCATATGGGCTCCTATACGGATGCCTCGATGTTGCCTGGATTGCAATTATGATAATTTGCTTTGTTGTGGCTAGCAGAAGAATAGAGGACGCGCTTTGGGTTTTGAAGCGATCGGTATGAGGTCCGAGTCTCAGTGGGGACAACATCACCCACTGGGGTACAGTTACATGCATCTGACGAGTCCCAAGTAGGACGAAACGTGCGTCCTGGATTCTTCTCCTAGCCACGACATGGCAAATTATCATATTTCTTCAACTGTTGAACGTTCAGCATTTTTGAAAACTCTGGATCTTTGAGTTATTTAAAGTCATGGCCAGTAAAGAACTTACATTCAAGCTAGATGGATACTTCAAAGTAGTTTCCAAATTTTAGGTTAACAAGTTTATGGCTTCGACTTCGTCAATTCACTTATTGTACCACCTAAATACACACACACACACACTTGTATAAAAAAGTCACTTCACGCATGTAAATTTGTATCATTTATCTATTACAATAAATAAATTAAACAGTGATTGTGATTTCCTGCGTTTCTTCAGGTTGAGTGTGTTTTGTGTTTATCTTTTTTCTCAACCAAATCTTAAAGTAGTTGGCGCTCTTGGCGGTGTAAACTTATGAAAACCAACTGGTCGTATTCCATTGAACAGTTTATTCCAAAATTTCTTTTCTTCTGCAATTGTCATATAGCGTTTATTTGTCAACGGATACTGTCGCTTATACTGATAATTGTCATTGTTATAATATGCTGAAATTGAATGAAGTTAAATAATTATTACTATGGTAAACATGAATACTCCAACAGTTTAAAAACTACTGAAGTGACCTCATTTAAGTAGTATAAACATGTTCCTCACTGAAATGTTTAGCTGAAGTATAATCAGTATAATATCTGTTAACTTACTTATGAAATATAATACGTGAGTTAATTGGCGTTTGTTATTCAGGATAGATGTTGACTGGCGTTCAAAGCGGTCAGTCAACTACGAGAAACATCAGCTTGTGATATAATACTTGCTGTTACGTAATAACAGATGAGTTGGTGGTAACTCTAATCCTGGTTTGCATACCGATTAAGGTTGTCTTGTCAATAAAGCGGATGAATCCAACTAAACTATCAGTACTTCTGGAAATATTAGGCTCAGACTATACGCATCTCAAAAGCTTTTATTCATTAGATAACCTTGTAAATCTACACCACATACTTTCCGTACAATTTGCCAGATACAATAATGTAACCGACACTCAGTGTTCGCAATACTTGACCAAACCACTTCATATCAAATATCTATGGGTCATTGGTTTAAAGAGACGTTTTTCAACCGATGGGTAATGGGTTCGAGACGCGCTCCTCATACCAGAGTTCAGGCATTCAGGTAGTAGTATCATTAGCCCTTACACAAAAGGTGTGGCTCAACGCCTACTGTACAGATGTACACAAAGTTTCTGAGTACATTTTCATTTGGATATCATGTAACCAGAAAAGAATTTTTGAGTAATCTAAAGAAATCCCTAATTAGCTGCCATATTGCATGTAGCTAAATTAAGTTTGACTGATTAGGGGTATCTCTTCACAAGATTTTTGTTGTTTATCTGAGGTATTTCGGTCATTTTTATACCCTTTTATCGTGTACTGAAACTATCACTTGAGTAGTACTCTGGTTGGGTGTAGATTTGTGAACAGTAAATTTGATTCAGAGGAAGAAATTTTGTTATGATACTGTTTGGAATATCTGAAGCACACGTTAAACTATCCTGTCTCATAATACATTTTGGTCAGAGTAGGAACAGGTCAGGGAAATGCTAAAGGTAGATCAATTTAGGCCTACAATCACTTCATGAGATCGTGTTAATCTTCGTCATGAATAAAAAAATTAACCAACCAGAGTAAACAAAGGGTGATAAGTGATTTAGAATAAAGGATAAAACTGGTAGGAAATCTTTGTTTAAACTGTCATATTTGAGAATGATTATGATTGGCATTTCTGATTAGCATAAGAATGAAACTGAAAATTTACATGCCCCTCAAGATGAAGAATATAAGTATCGATAAGCGAAATAGTTGGTGGAGTTCAGTTGACACTATTCACTAGATAATATAAAATTGGTTACTTTTTAGTGAATAAACAATGTACCTTATCTATCCTAAGAGGAGGTCACTTCCCCAACCCAGTAACTGAATCTTAACGTCGTTAGTTGCATCAGTCGATGAAGCTGGTTAGGCTACGTAACAGATTCGCCTTAATACCAAATGCTGATAAGTCAAGAATCTTCACTTAGCCTTTTCTGTCAGTTGTCTCCAACTGTCTATCTAACTAGGTACATTTCACTCTCAGAGGAGGCATCCCAACCAATTTCTTTATAGCTGTACTGACATTCAACAGCTCTAAATTTATCATATGACTTTGGTACAGTACTGGCTTATAAATATGGGTTCTGTGTTTCTTACTTTACTCCCTTAGACAAAAAAAGGAATTTTTGAGGTTATAGACGGTTTCTGTCTTGTATTCAGTGTCACTGATTTCGTGCACTAAAAAACTCAATATTTCCTTTCTCGGTTTTTCGATTTTCATCTATAATATAAATGCTTAAAATCATTGAAAATCAATGAGTCTTTAAGGAGATTCATTTTGGAGTTAAAAGGGGATTTATTTATTGATTTCAGGTTGATATTCATCACGAACTGATATCGGTTGATGAACCAATGGAAACTTGTGAGCACTAGATAACTGTTTTGTCCTAGTATGGGACTACTCAGCAGTGTGGACCCATGGCCCTGCCAGGGATTGAACCCAGGACTTTGGGTTCTGCGGTCAGCAAGTTAACACTGAGCTACTTGGTCACTATCTAATCATCCACATTTCTTAATTCTCTCAATTCACATTATTATTATTTTAGGCTTGTTTAGTTATCATCTGCACTGATTCAGTCCGTCTAGCTTAAATCTTCATTTCAGTGTCTTATAGTAATATCTTTTCTAAATTCATTTCGCATTCTTCGATAATATTCACTATAGAGAAAATTCCCTGAGGGTAAATAATTCATCGTTATCTGTCTTATTCCTAACAGGAGCGAAAATCTTTTCAGAAAAAACGTATTCATCGAATAAGGTTGATTACGGTATTCATTTGAGTAGTATGAATAACTAGAAAAGTTATTGTTACACTGAACAATATAGAACTATTGAAATATTTAGTCGTATTCAATGTGTCTGCTTTGTTTTATTTCCTGAAGAACTCTTGTCATAAATGCCTTTTGTGATTACTTTTAGTATTATTATTATTATCATTATTATTATTATTTATTAACAAGCACAAACCTAAGGAGAAATAACCACAGAATATCAACTATTTCCTTATGGTATTTTATTGTCAAATGTCATGTTTAGTGTTCACAAAACATCTACTGTAACCCGCCAAAAAAAAAATAACCCTTACCATTTTAATCTAGTGAATGAATCAATTTTGTTCAATGTACAATGAATTTGTTTGAATGAAATGATATCAGCGGACTAACTGATTCAATCGATGGGTGAATAAATAAGTAAATAAAGAAATAATAGAGATTTATTTCTCCTAAGTTGTTTAAAACCGAACACAATTCAGTTATGTAAATGAAGCATCTATTAAATTTTAGAAGTATCTTCAAGGATGAACGTTGATCTACTTATCGAAAGTGAACTTCTGTCGATCGTGCTTGTTCATATAAAACTACCAATACACAAAATTGCACAAGAATGTTTATTAGATCACCTGAATTCTCTAGATAGTTGTAGCTGTGTATACGTGTGAATTACAAGTGTATTTAAGAGTATGCGGGTGTATGTTGGTTAGTAAAGTGTAAAAGATGCGTTTTATAATCTGTGACATTCCTGTAGTTCAACCTTAACCACACACACATACACACCCTTAATGCTTTTCTACCTAAGAGAAAAATACTTCAGAAAAGTCACCAACCAACCCTATGGGTACACATTTCAAGCACTGTGAGATAACTGAAGATACCTACTGTCTCTTTATTAAGTGACAAGCATCACAAAAAAAGTATTTGTATAGACTTAAAGGAAATGTCATTGAAATAAACTAGTACAGTCAATCTATCTAAACAGAGTGAAGTATGTTTTGATGAAGGTGAAAAGGAATAAAATTCAAAAAAGATATAGAAAGTCTAATTCACTAAGGAATCATCTTAATTTTAAGAAACATTTGAAGCTTGTGACATGACTTATGCCTTTTATTTGTATTCACTTATACTATATCGATCTTGGCGACTAGTAGAGGAATCCAGGACGCGCTTTTCGCCCTACTTGGGACTCATCAGCTGTATGTACCTTCACCCCAGTGAGTGATGTTGTTCCTACTGAGGCTAAAACCCAGTACGTATCGCTTCAAACGCCAGAGCATTATACTCTATTGTAGCCTCGGTAGGAACAATATCACTCATTGTGGTGCAGGCACATCCAACTGACGAGTCCCAAATAGGACGAAACACGCATCTTGGATTCTTCTAATAGTTATCAAGTTCAATATAATATCATGAAAATTCGTCAGTATCGAGGCATCCGCATAGGAGCCCATCTGGCGACAGGGGTTCAGCAATCCGGCTCTGTATAGCAACGGGAAACTACAAGTATAATTACTACAATATCCACTTATGTATTTTTCAAGTTGATATCAAAACTTGAAATAAAGACTTCATTGCTTGAAACATAAGAGGAAAAATAGACCATTTCGACAGTGTTTAAGCGGTTAGAATTATTCATAAAGAACGGTAAATTTCATGGTAAACAGTACAATGAAAATGTGGTAAAAGCTTTCTGGTGACAGATTTTATTTAGCTCAAGGGTTAACTAATCAGAGCTTTCTGTCTGAATTCATGCAGTCATGTTAGGACTTTGAGAAACAGTGATGTCGGGCAGGGATACCTGCTGTCACCGCTTCCATTTGACTTCATTATAGATGTGCTAATGGACATAACTGTAGGTTCCTCTGACTTCACAGGGATTGCTCTACTTCCAGATATCTTCCTACCAGGTAAAAACGCTGACAAAATACAAGGTCTTCTGAACGTGTTGAGCGTGCATCATCAGCTGATAAATGTAAGATAATGATGCTCTAAGAGTGGTTTGTAACTACCTTTAGTTTAATGATAGGGAGTAAAGTGGTGGAATGTGTCAACCCTTCACTTACTTGAGGAGTTGCATCAGCCCGAATGGGCTGGTTGCTGATGAAATCTCATCTTGAATACAAAAGGCTACTTTAACATTTGCTATGTTGCACCAACTGTGGCACCAGCTTACAAGATATCCAACTCTATATCAAAGAACTTGTATACTACCCTGCAGTTCGTACTATCCTGTTATGTGGCTGTGAGACAGCCGTTTAAAACGAGATGACCCAAAGCAGTTGCAGTCGCGGTCACGTGACTGGTACTAAACAAGTAAGATAAGCCAGTCAATGAGATTGTGAATTTTCAACGACCGAAATGGCTTGGACATTTGTTGTACATCTCCGACCACTGCTTACCTCGATGTGCAATTCTGAGGGAAGTTGGATTAGGCTGGAAGAAGGCTCAGGTTAACCAAACTAAAACGTGACAACAGTTCATGAAAGTCTATGACTGTTAATTTTAGTCGTATATGAGCGTGTAGACTGCCTAGTTACGGTCCCTGAGATTGGTTGAGGACTTTTACTGGAGTGTCTGAAAATCGAACACGGTGATGCTGATGTATTCCCTGTTTGATATCTT